GAGTTTACACGGAGACAATGTGGCAGTAAAACAGTATAGTTGGATGTCGGTTTCTACCAAGCGTTCATACGAAGACTGTGTTCCAGGGGGGTGAAAAGTGTTCAGATCCAGCCTGCAGAGTGGGACAACTCAGAAACGCTGCACAGAGGGGGCTCTTTCACACCCGCAAGAGGGAAAAGGTGTGAAATCCCCCTCTGCTCTGACCCCCACCTCCTGCTGCTCCCCGCACGTACATTTGGACATGCGCAGTAGCGGAGAACAAACATCAACATCAATGGCGGCTGGGGCTTCGAGTGGGCTTCGAGCACAGCACAGAGGATAATTCTACACCTTCGTTCGTCCAAACGAGACCACGCGAAGCTCTAGGTTCAGTTTCCATTTTCACAGCTGCTGTTAAAGAATGATGTTGGTGCGTTCTGAGGGTCTGGCACAGGAAGTGAGTACACTGCAGAGAGGGGGGCTGGGCACAGGGCTGGGGGTCGTGTGAGTGTTGTAAAGTTTCTCTGCCCACTACTGGCCGGGCGCTAGAACTACATCGTTTTTCAACCTCATGTGAACGCTGAGAAATTTGCATTAGGAGCCAGGTCGTTTCTGTTAATAGCCTGGAAACGTCTGCGCAGCGTCTCAGTATAAACAGGGCCTAAGAGGTTTACTGACCACCTGACTGCGGAGAACTATGTAAAAACTACGATTGAACTGAAGGAGTCTAATCAACCGCGTAATGCTCTACCTTTACGCACAGGTATGAGTACGAGGTGGCTGTAGAAACTCAAAATGTGAAGACTATTATTTAACGGTATTATAGCAGCCACTTTATTTTTCTCAGCCACGTCTCTTTAGTTAAGCTATGGACAAATTGTTTTCTTTTGGAAAAATTACCACAAAAGACTGTAGAATGTTAATATCGGGACTGATAAAACTGCCTTTTATTCTTCTTGTCACTATGAGGGCAAAATGGGTGTGCATGGTGTGTGTGTGTGTGTGTGAATGTTTGTTTGTCTTGTCTTTTTGTCAACATTGTTTAGTTTGCAGCTCTATCTTATTTTTGATGAAAAGTTTCAAAACAAATACAAATTCTTATGGTGAGGGATAACGTGTTATCAAATAAAGGTTTGAAAATTGCCCATCTGAATATCTGTAGTTTGAGAATTAAGGTTCAGGACATAAGCAGGATTTTAGAGAGTTACAATTTACATATACTAGCTTTATCTGAGACACATTTGGATGGAAACATTGATAGTTCCCTCGTTCATGTAAATGGATATAACTTCTATAGGCTTGACAGAAACACACACGGGGGCTGAGTGGGATGTTATGTGAAGAGATCAAATCCCAGTGAAGATTCGATCTGATCTGGGTTGTGTTGGAGTGGAAGCACTGTGGCTGGAAGTGCAGGTACCTCACATTAGGCCTTCTCTGATTGGCTGGAAGTGCAGGTACCTCACATTAGGCCTTCTCTGATTGGCTGGAAGTGCAGGTACCTCACATTAGGCCTTCTCTGATTGGCTGGAAGTGCAGGTACCTCACATTAGGCCTTCTCTGATTGGCTGGAAGTGCAGGTACCTCACATTAGGCCTTCTCTGATTGGCTGGAAGTGCAGGTACCTCACATTAGGCCTTCTCTGATTGGCTGGAAGTGCAGGTACCTCACATTAGGCCTTCTCTGATTGGCTGGAAGTGCAGGTACTTCACATTAGGCCTTCTCTGATTGGCTGGAAGTGCAGGTACCTCACATTAGGCCTTCTCTGATTGGCTGGAAGTGCAGGTACCTCACATTAGGCCTTTTCTGATTGGCTGTTGCTATAGACCTCCAAATGCTCACATAGTTTATCTAGATCGGATCTGTTATATGTTAGACAAAGTTTGTGACTTAAATAAGGAAATTTATTTTGTAGGAGATTTAAACATAGATTCGATCACAAAGGATTGTCCTTTGAAAAATAGATTAATGTCCATTTCAGACACTTGTAATTTGTCACAAGTAGTGATTAAAACAACAAGATTGGCTTATAAAACAGATGGGACAAAATCAGCCACTTGTATTGATTTAATGTTTACAAATTCAGTTGAGCTATGCTCAAAAGCTATTTCAATTTGCGTTGGGTTTAGTGACATAATTAAATTATAATAAATAGAGATACTAAAGTCCCTAAAGCAGAAATCATGCTATAGGGAAATCATGAAAGTGAACTGGTCCCAAGTTTCACTGGAGGATGATCCGAATAGAGCTTTGGAGGTTTTCACTAAAGTCTAATCCTGCCAATCATTAATACACACGCTCCATTGAGAAAAATGACAGTTAGAAATGTAGCATCCCCCTGGGCAGATCCTGAACTTAAAGAACTTATGAAGCAAAGACATGAACTAAAGGAAGAAGCCTCCACATCCGGCAGCAGCACAGTGTGGAACCAGTACAAGAGCTGAGGAATTATGTGACCAAATTAAACAGATCCAAGAGAAAAGCTTATTATGGAAATAAGTTCGCTGATATAAAATCAGATGTTAAAAAAATATGGAATACATTATATGAACTGATGAGAAGGAAAGTCAAGCCTGTACCAACATTTTTGGAAGTGGGTGGATCTTTTCTGACGAAGCCCATTGATATTTCAAATTATCTTAGTGAATATTTCTTAAATAAAGTTACAGTTTTACGTAACAACATAATTCCCAAGTCAAATTCCATTCATCTTGGACCTCAATCAAAGATGTAATAATGGGTGGTAAATTGTGTAAATTTAAGTATGACCGTTGTTGAAAATGTTCTAAAACTCATGAAACTCAAGCCTTCGGACATTGATGAAATGGATGTGAAGCTGAAACTGGAGCATGATGTGGTTGTTCTGTTTGTCACGTCGTTCATCTGAGTTTAGAAAAGTGTATTTGTCCTAATGATTGGAAAATAGCAAAAAATGTGGCTCTACCTAAAAACAGCAAAGAGCCCTTTTCTGGAAAGAACAGTCGCCCAATTAGTATTTTGCCAATTATGAGCAAAATTATGGAAAAAATAGTCTATGATCAGATCAATGTATATTTTTGTAGAAATGGATTAAAGTCGGTGTATCAGCTGCTCATAAGAAAGAACCACAACATCAGCCTCAGCTCAGATAACTGATGATTGGACATGAAATGGAAAAAAGAAACATTATTGGGACAGTATTGCTAGATTTAAGAGCAGCGTTTGATTTACTTGATCATGATTTATTACTGAATAAATTAACTTGCTATGGTTTTGAAAATTCTGCTATCAAGTTATTTAACTAACAGAGAGTTTACTGTATTATTTAACGGCAGTTATTCTGAAAAAAAGACACTGAGTTGTGGAGTGCCTCAAGGCCACTATTGCCCTTTATGCAGACGATTCAACCATTTATCTGTCTGACACTAACCTTGCTAATTTAAATGAAAACATACAAGAAGATTTGAAATCAATTGAAGATTGGATGAATGAAAATAAATTGGTTATTAATCCTGAAAAGACCAAATGCATTGTGTTAGGATCAATGCATCACTTAAGAAACTCCATCCATTCATCCATTTTCTTCCCCTTAATCCATTTCCGGGTCGGGGGGGTGGCAGTCAGAGCTGCACCCAGTACACCAGCCCCTCACTGATCCTCCTGCAGGTGCTGAGTCCACAGGAGCTGAGATCTTTCAGTTGGGGCTTTGGGCAAAGTAGGGTTAAGTGTCTTGCCCAAGGACACAACAACAGCAGACATCAGTGGGAGTCGTGAAGTAGGTCTTACGGTGGGCTTGAACCCACGACCTTCAGGCCCAAAGGCCAATGCTCTACCAACTGAGCTACTGTCGCACTTAAGAAACTCCCCTGGTATAAATGTGACCATAGAAGGTAAATCTATAGAACAAGTCACTGAGACCAAGCTGCTGGTGTCACAGTAGATCATATGTTGACCTGGAATAGTCATATAAAGCAAATACTAAACTAAATGGGCCGGGGTCTGGCTGCAGTGAAGCAGAGCAGAAACTGTATACCAAACCAAATATGTAAACTATTAGTTGATTCAATTGTTTTATCACATCTAGATTACTGTTCTGTAATTTGGTCAAACACAACAGAGGCAAATTTAAACAAACTTCAAATAGCACAAAATAAAGCGGCTCGGCTCGTTCTGAACTGTTCTTTCAGAACCAGCATAAGTCAGATGCATCACCAGTTGTCCTGGCTGTATGTTAGAGGGAGGATCAAATATTCTCTTGTTAATATGATCAGAAAGATGATAATAACAAAAACACCAGAGATACTCTTTACTAAATGGACCTTCTTCAGTGATGTGCACCAGTATTCCACTCGACAGGCCAGGGACAGACGTTTCCTCTGACCTGCATGCACCAATCATACCCAGAGGACACTGCACCACAGGGCCATGGACCAATCAGATCAGAGGAGACTGCACTACAGGGCCATGGACCAATCAGATCAGAGGACACTGCACTACAGGGCCATGGACCAATCAGATCAGAGGACACTGCACTACAGGGCCATGGACCAATCAGATCAGAGGACACTGCACTACAGGGCCATGGTGGAACTCACTACCCCAGTTTCTGGTAGATGGGATGAATGCACTTGATTTTCATAGAAGATTGAGAGTTTTCCTTTTCACTGAAGAATGGCACTGATTTGTTTTGTATTTTTGAGTTGTATTTACATTATTTGGATAATTGAATGTTTAAAATGTAACATTTTTTAAATTTAGATTATTTTTGTTGCTGCTATTAATGTTGCCGTGTGCATGTGTTCGTGTGTGTGTGTATAGATGGTTACTGTGTGTGTGTGTATGTATAGATGGTTACTGTGTGTGTGTGTGTGTGTGTGTATAGATGGTTACTGTGTGTGTGTGTGTGTATGTATAGATGGTTACTGTGTGTGTGTGTGTGTGTGTGTATAGATGGTTACTGTGTGTGTGTGTGTGTATGTATAGATGGTTACTGTGTATTTTTGTTATAACGTTTCTGTATTGTTTGTGTGTGCGTGTGCTTATGTGTGTGTATGTATGTGTATGTATATGTATGTATATGTATAATGTATATGTATGTGTATATATATGTATGTGTATAAAAAAAAAAAAAAAAAGTCCACTCACCTTTGGCCCTCCGCGGGCGGTTATCCCTCTCTAAGCTCGGGTCCTCTACCAGAGGCCTGGGAGCTTGAGGGTTCTGCGCAGTATCTTTGCTGTTCCTAGCACTGCACATTTCTGGACCGAGATGTCCGAGGTTGTTCCAGGGATCCGCTGTAACCTCTTCTAGCTTCAGGGTCACTGCCCCGAGTGCACCGATCACCACGGGCACTACTGTCACCTTTACCCTCCAGGCCCTCTCCAGCTCCTCTCTGAGACCTTGGTATTTCTCAAGCTTTTCATATATATATGTATGTGTATATATATGTGTATGTATATTTATAATTTTGTTTTTATACATTCATTTTTGTCCTTTGTACGTTATATTATGTGACATGAAATATATAGACCTCAGGAAGAATAGCTACTGTCTCTTTAAGTAGCTAATGGGGATCTGAATAAAAACAAAACAAAACAGACTAACCCAGGACCAGACCAGACCAGAGACACAGACACAAAACTAGACTGTGTTCATTGATGTGACTGTGTTGAGTAACCACTGTAAATAATTAGATGCAGCTTGAGCGCCCTCCTGTGGATAAAAACATGGCTGCAATCTAGTTTCACTACAGACACATTTATTCATAAAGGAATCATATTGTTTTGGCTTTTAACCCAGGACTAACCCAGGACTAAACCAGGACTAACCAGGACTAAACCAGGACTAAACCAGGACTAACCCAGGACTAACCCAAGACTAACCCATGACTAAACCAGGACTAAACCAGGACTAACCCAGGACTAACCCAGGACTAACCCAGGACTAACCCAGGACTAAAACAGGACTAGACCTGGACTAACCCAGGACTAAACCAGGACAAGATCATGGCTTTTTTGTGTGCAAATTCACTTTAATAACATATTGTTTTTTCATCCACGTACCATTCTGCACAGACAGACTGGTACGTGATGTCTGCAGACTCTGTGGCACAGAGCACTAACAACACACAAACCAGAACATCTACAGCTCTCTGACCACTCTCGGAACTACTCCCTCTGGTGGTCAGCGTCTGTAACTGCACCCTACAGAGACAGACGTCAAACAGCTCTGACATCTCTGTGTGGAGCGAGAGACAAAGGCCCACAACTGTAAAATGCTAATGACTCTGGTCTGTGAGAGGCGCTTTATAAATAAAGATTACTCACTTAAAGTACCTGTAAGACTTCCTTGTCAAGTCATCATTAAAGGGCCCTAATCAGTTATAACAATAAACCGCTCTTTTCCAATACTTCTTTAACTGATAAAAATTGTTACGACCCAGCTCAGCTAGGGTAAGGGAGGTAACAAAGAAAACCAAGATGTTAAATGGCAAAGCAAGTATTTATTAACAGGAATGTAAATGATAAGGTGACATAAATCAAAAGGACACAATACAGGACACGTTACCAAAACAAAACCTACACTAAACTCTACACTAATACACATAGAATTGAACACTTAAACCTACTGCTGTCTCAACAAAAGCGAGGTGTCACAAAAACAAAACCTCAAAGTGACAACTGAAAAGAGACAAACCAAATAAAAGCTGTACGGACCATAAGGACTGTCTTTAAGTCATTGTCACCCCTTGCAACAATGACAGACACTTTCATGAGTACAAAGGGCATCCCAGCCACACACAGGCTGCAGCCCCGAACAGGTGTGGAGTGTGGCCTGAAGTACAGAGTGACTCCGGGTGGGAAAGCTGGACTGGCTAGGTGCACTGCTGCTTTTTGTATTGCTAATTGTATTTCATATGAAGTAGATATGCTTTACTTAAGTACAGGACTGCTCCACATCACGCACATACACGTACGAACACACACATACGCACACAGAGACAGGCGGGTACAGCCATGGGTCACAAAGCACCTGTCGAAGCGATGCACTCTCCGAACTACATGAAGCACCTCAGTGAACCGTCACGTGGTGCGGCCGCTACGCGAGGCTTTGAACGTCACCACACACGTCACCAACACACGCCTCGACCCACGCTTAAAAAAAACTCCCCTTGATTACCAGGTACACGCTTTGAAGACTCGGCACACTCAGCAAATCACTAGGGCGGCACGGTGGCTGAGTGGATAGCACTCTCGCCTCTCAGCAAGAAGGTCCTGGGTTCGAATCCCGGTCGGACCAGGGCCTTTCTGAGTGGAGTTTGCATGTTCTCCCCGTGTCTGCGTCGGTTTCCTCCGGGTACTCCGGTTTCCCCTACCACTAAAAATATGTCCAATAGTTCTGGCATGTGCCTCCTGTACTGGCCCCGCTCCCATCTCTGTGTGGAGTGAGAGACAAATGCCCAAAAATTAACAATTGTAAACCGCTTTGAGACTCAGATCTGCAGATTTTTACTTACTAAAATCTTGTTATTGTTTTCATTTCGATGTCCCGCCCTCCACCGTTTCACCAATCAGAAAGTCTGTGATCCGGGCGCCAGAACTCACCGCGTGGAGCTAATCTCACTGGTAAAGTACCATGTGGCGCAGAACTAAAAAAGGTCTCGTTATGATTCTCAAATCATTAATGACAAAACAAGGTTTTCTATCTTTGTGAAAAAGGTGTTGGTTATAGATTTGTTGTTGACAAAACTCTTGTCTATTCAGCTGTTATGGTCCCAGCTGGATTCGTCTGTATATCTGGCAACCTGAGTCAGGGAGAGTGGGAGAGGCTGCAGTACCACCTTTGGCCACATTTTTACATACTGCTTTATAAACTTAGATTTATAGGAGGATTTTCTAACATTTTAGGAAAGAGCCGCCCTCTCCACTTTTTGAACAAAACTCTCTGGCACCAGAATCTATCACCAGAATGTGTTATGGTGTGGATTTGATTTTTGTATTTTTGTTTTATTTTGACATCTTATCTGTGAATTAGTTTTAGCTTGACTTCCTGTCCTGTTTCCCCTGTCTTGATTGTTTGCCCCGCCCTGATGTGTTTCACCTGTGTCTGTGTCTATTTGTACCCTGCGCTCCTCTCCCCTTGTGCTGGTCCATTGTCTTGTCAACGTCCTGTCTTGTCTTGTTCATGTCTCTGTCTGTTTCCGTCCTGTTCCTGGTCCTGTTTTGGTTTTGGATTTTGAGTTGGTTTCATCTGGACTTTTTTATCAATAAACCCTTATTTTTGGCATTCCTGCAATTTTGTAGTGATGGCAATATGAAGCCCCATGAAGCCTTGAGGGATCGCAGCCTATTACTCGGCCCATGAGTGGAAGGCTCGAGGTGAATCATGCTCCACTACGCCATCATGTGGACAAAGAAATACATAACACTCTTAAGTGCTTACAATGAATGGTGAGATCTAATGTTAAAATGTATATTTACAATCTATGGTCTAACGTGTTGTGTTTGAAATGATGCTTCATGAACTATGAACTATTTGAGTCTTTCAGTCAATTGTGTTGATACAACAAACACATCCAAAGTAATACAGTTCTACAGAAAGTGATTAATGGAGGAAAAACTACCAAGAGGTGGATTAATTAAACACAACAAACCATTTATTCCCAATAAATAAATACATTTACTTTGCAACACAAAATTTATTATGGGTAGACCAGGATTCGAACGCTATATCTTCTGCTTCGGAGTCCGTCATATACCGACTGCGCCACACAGCTGTTGTGAAATGTATTATCCAGCGTATTATTACTAATAACTTGAAGCCTTGATATATGAGGTTTTACTAAAGTGAAACGTTTTTAATTGTATTTCATATGAAGTAGTTTCTCTATACTTAGTACAGGACTGCTCCACATCACGCACACACGTACACACACACACGTACGCACACAGAGGCAGACGGGGACAGCCAATACAGTCTATGGTACAGCCGCGGATCACAAAGCACCTGTCAAAGCAATGCACTCTCCGAACTATATGAAGCGCTATATGAACCGTCACGTGGTGCGGCCGCTACGCGAGGCTTCGAACGTCACCACACACGTGACCAATACACGCCTCGACCCACACTTCAAAAGAAACGCCCCCAGATTACTCGGTCCACGCTTCGAAGACTCGGTCCGCTCAGCACATCACTAGAATTTTGAGTCCTCCATCATCTCACCTCATGACAGAATGGACCAGCCAACAAGAGGACTCAGCGGAATGCCGTTTACCACACACCTGCTCCCTGTTCATTGCAACCTGTAAGATTTTTATTCTTTCACCATCTCATCACTGCCAACCTCTCAACCCGTTACCTGGTACCACCGCCAGACAAGTACCTCCGTCTGGGGTGGTGTTCCCTCCGTACCACCGCCGGGCACTTGTCTCCGCCCGGGGTGGTCCTCTGTCCCCCCCTGACCTGTTGAGAGGTCTACAGTGACGTTCTGCTCTTGCCTGGATGGTTTATGTCTGCTTGGATTTCCTCGCCTGTGTCTGCTGCTGCACTTCGATGACCTCTCCTACCCTTCTACTGTCTCCACCGCCAGACATGGTTCTCCGTCTGGGGTGGTTCTGTCCTGTCTGAGTCACCGCCGGGCATTTGTGTCCGTCCGGGGTGAGCTAGTTCCCTGATGGAAGGTCACCGCTGGGCTTCAGCATCTGCCCCTAGTTTGGACTCTGCCTGGGACTTGAGGTTTATGCAGCCTCTAAGCTGCCTCTGGGGAACGGGGTCCGGGGTCTTCTGTCGAGGGCCGTCCAGTCCCTCTAATGGTGCGTTCAGACCAAACGCGA